ATTTGGTGAAATCATACGTTTCCTTATGGGGAATGTGGGTGAATCTGTGCCTGTGATCGTGATGTGTAGGCTGCAGCAGCTCTTTGATTTCCCTCAACAGGAAGAAAATATCCCACGGAGAGGCATGGTGACTGTATAACGTCTTCTCACAAAGATTAGCTTCATTTCACATCCACGTGATTCCACATCGCTGCATGACGATCTGCAGAATCTGTGGTCGAGGGACGAGATTTCTGCTTTGACCCAAGTGCATCAGCTATCTGCTTTTTCATTTATCAGCATCCACATGCAGGAAGGTGTGAACAGAGATTAGACTAAATGTTGTCTTTGCCTTATTCCTTAATCAAAAACTGTTTATATGTGGGAGACACGTGCATTTGTGTTTTTTAAGTAAGCCAAGACATCTGGTCTTTGGAAGGACAGATCATTTCCTTCACCCCCTCCCCCCCCAGGTCAATATCGACTGCAGTAGAATTTGAGACGCACTCGAGACATCATGCATATTTTCTTTACAAAAAAAAAAACAGAGAGAGAAAATCAAAGCATGTCGGAGGGCGAGTGAAATCAAAGAGAGCAGGAATAGTGTGCAACACTGAGCAACAGCATAAACTCCACTGATCTGTTATTTGAATAGAGGGGAGGGTTAAATACTGAGGGCTGTACAGTGCAGCACGCACTCCGCTGGGAAGCACGAGCGTCCCCTCTCTCTAATTAACAAGTACTTGACAGAGCAGCTCAAGGCAGCAGAGCACGCAGCGGCCATCTGCAGCAGCCTCGTCTGCCGGCGCGTTGATACTGATTTGAGCCAATGATGAAGTAAGTCACACTGACACCAGGCTGCACACAGGCCTTTGAAGGAAGGAGCAGACACACGAGAGCTCGCAGTCTGTGCTGCAAGACGACAACTCCGCTCGGTGCATCTGACAGCGGAGAGGAAGAAAAACAGGACGTTCGCATTAAACCAGACCGAACGCGCTAATACCTGGATGGTTATTGACGCGGTGTAATGTGATAGGATGTAAATGTGCAGAGTGATGCAGAGCTGGAGGGGTCGGAGTGTACATGACCAGGGGAAACAAAGTCTGGATTCACAGACAACTGTTAGAGGAGCTGCCACAGATGCTGTTTTCATCATAAATTGTCATGTAGCATCACGGCTATTTAAGATGATAACACAACGCCACGTGTTTAGAAGACAATGTGTTGTTTTGTGTGAATGTAATGAGGTTTGCAAACTGTGGAAAAGTGCATTTCACATTCAATATTGTTATAATCGTTCTTTTGCATTTTTTACGTCGCGCTGTCGCCTCTGAGTCGAGCGTTAACAGGAAGTGACGTCGGTGGCACAGGTCAGAACAAACACTGGTTTCTTTGCCGAGCGTCGTTTGAACTCCCGCTCAACTTGCATCTCGCTTTGTTCGGGAGAAGAACCCGAACCGAGCAGATCCTCAGGAGATCCTGACATGAAACTCTGAAAATATTGTGTCAGCTCGCTGAACGGCTGCAGCTCTTGATGTGAGTCATGTGCACGATGTGAAAAGACTTTCTGTTCTGCTCTTTTGACCGAGGGGAATCTCCTGGGCCATAATCCTCAGCAGAATTCAATCCACATCTGTTTTTTCTTTTTTACTCTTGAGACCTCTTCACTCGTACTGCGAGTCGGTGCCCTGTCAGGCTCGTGCTTTGTGTCCAGAACAAGGGAAACATATAATCTGAAGTAACGTCCATCATTTAAACCACGTTTCCATGAATCTGAGAATAATCTGTGAAACACACTCGATCTTTATTGTCCTCCAACACACACACACCCACCACACATACAGAATCACAGTCACTCAGGGTTGTTGTGTTGTGTTGTTACGTGTGTGCATGTATTGGCTGCTGTTGTGAGTAGATAACGTTCCCTGCAGGGTTTGTCAGCGACCTTGTGTTTCTTTCACAAATTCAAACAGACTAAAAACTCTCAGCAGTGCAGCTCCTCATTATTCCTCCTCCACGCGTCACATTTTCCACCTGTGTCCTCGTGTTGTCGTGTGTCACGGATCTAATTTGTCTTGATTTTTGTGTTTCCTGTGATCTCTGCTCCACTTTGTTCTTTGTATCTGATCACTTGTCTTTTCAGTGTTCTGCCGGTGAGATGATGAAGCAACTCGAGACTGTCCCCGTCGCTCCCTCTGCTTCTGTAACTGCAGCTCTGACTGTTCACTTCACTTTCACTTGTATGGAGCTTTTTCCTCTTAATTCAAGGGCGTTGTCTTTCTATTTCCTGCGCTCCAGCTTCAGCTCTTCTCCTCACGCTGCGTCTGTGCGTGCGTTAAATGTCTGCTCTCAGATTTCAACTCAGCTCTTGGATTTTTTTTTGCAAGTCCGTCAGAATTACGGAATCGTATCGTTCACAACTGATATCGCCCCGCCTTTATTGTGGGTGTGTCAGCTTTCTGCATGGGCGGTTACTTTAACCTGGTTCATGCACTCCCGCCCTCCGTGGCTTACGACGACACCAGGAGACCCCTGGTCAACACGGAGCGACAAAATCAAGGATCTCAAAAAGGTTCATGCGCTGAAATAAAACTCTTGAGCAGAGGAGGAATCTGAGCGCAGGTGTTTCACATGTGCACAGAAGAAAAGACGAAAAGCTGGAGCGCAGGGTTTTGAGTGAGAGAACATTACAGAAGATGAAATCAATAAGTCCTGCTCTCAAACTGAAAGACACACATACTGGGCCCCCCAACGGAAAGAGGTCCGAGTCACAACCAGTCCAATATCATCCCCTCCTCACAGCTGAAGTTATCACGCATCAGAAAAGAGCACAAACTTTTTACCGAACACTCCAGAGGTCCGTCACCTCATTTTCCAGCATGAAAAGCAGATCTGAAGTTAGCGCTCTCTCGCTGGGCGGCGCACCGACTCATCAGGCAACACTCTGGAGCCCGGAGCAGATATTCCCTTATCTCTGCTGAGCTAACAAACAGTCATTAACGGTAAATTATTATACGTCTCAAAGGGGCTCTAAGCCTCCTCACTTCAAAGAGACAGTCCTCTGCACTGACGGGCTTTGATGTGACGCGAGCGCAGAAAGTCTGGAGTCCGTCACAGGATTACGAAGCAAAGAGCATCACTTTATATAAAGCTTCCGTGCACATCTGAACCTCAGCGCAAAAAAATAACTCCACCTTTGTTACACTCAAGGCTGACATCTTTGTTTGAATTTATTTCTCCTCCTTTTTTTTTTTTTTAAATCACAGAATTTATGTTTGAGGACAATAAATTAATCCATTTATTCCATCGTCCATTATCTACACCGCTTATCCTCTGAGGGATGTGGAGGGAGCCGGAGCACATCCACGCTGACATTGGGAATTTAAAAAATCCCCACAGAGTCAGGGCCACATGCTTTCAACAGGTGGAGCTATAGCGCACTTTACAGCCTGGACT